TTTTTTTTTTTGTTCCAAGGATCAAACTTGGGTCCTTGCGCTTGCGAGGCAGGCGATGGAACCACTGAGCTAAATCCCCAGCCCATGAATTCTTTAAAATACATTATATGAAAAGCCAAACAGTACTCTTTTGGCACATGACCGAGCATGTGTGGAGTTAGCCACCTGGTGACAAGACTCAAGAGTGTTCAAAGTAGATAAAAAGAAAAACAAGATCAGCTGTGAAAACCTGTGCCTGTTGGCCAAGCCTTTTCTGGACCACAGACGTCATATTACAATGCAGAAACCTTCCTGTTCTATATTATGATAGAAGTGGACGACACTGGCTGTCACTCGATTGGATATTTTTCCAAAGAAAATAATTCATTCCCCAATTATAATATATCCAGATCCTTACCATGCCCTAGTACATGAAACAGGACTATGGCAAGATGCTCACTGACTTCAGCTATTTACTCTCCAAAGTGGAAGAAAAACTTGGCTCCCCAGAACTCTGGGATCTGGGCTTATAACCTATCACAGTTACTGGAAAGAAGTGCTTCTCTGGAAAAGAGACAAGACCTGATTGATGAGTGGATAGCCAAAGAGGCTAAAAGGTCCAACTCCCAAAAAACAATGGATCCCGGCTGCTTAAAAATGGATCCCTCCCTTGGGCCAGGGATGCAACTCTGTGGTGCCACACCTGCCTGGCAAGCTCAAGGTCCTGAGTTTGATCCTTGGCATTAGATTTTTAAAAAAGGATCCCTCCCAAGGGTACTTTAGTGACCTGTCATTCTGAGGCAGTGAACCCCAGCCATAGGAATCTACCCCCTAGGGATCTGTCTGTCATTCTGTTGCTCTTTTACTGGCATGATGAATTATTTTGGCCTCAGCGAGGTTGCCTGGATGGGACCCAGATCAAATTTGAGTGGGTCTCCCTTGTAGCACTGACCCAAGGAGTTCTGCTATGATATTAAACCTGCAGTCACTGGTCCTCACCTCATTTTCTGTGCCCCATGGGGTGTGTAGTGTCCTCTGAGCTTTGTTCTAGTGCTTCTTGCCACCTGGTCACCAGACCTCCAGTACAGTTAGCATGGCTGGGACCTTTGCAGTTGCTCCTTCCATATGTGTCTTGGAGAGAGGCAGGGAAGGGGCAGCACTTGGGAATGCGAGTGTGTGTATTGGGAGGGGTCCATTCATCTCAGACTTCATATCACTTTATTTTTTCCTCCATTTTTATCAAAAGTCCTTTTTTTGATCTGTATTGGACTGACCAGAGCCAAACACTTGGGAAGAGCTTCCCAGGGACTAGTCTTGGTAGCAACACATTATCCATCTGAATGAAATGATGACAGGAGTAAGAGTAGTCATTCTGTATTTTGATCTGTGTTCACCTTAGGCAATGGGCAGAGTCTTGGTGGAAGGGAATGGATTCTTCTTTTTGCCTGACCAAAGAAGTGCCCAGCAGTGAATGTATTCTCTTTACTGCTTGGCCTTTTTTTTCTTTTTTTTTTTTTTTTTTTTTTTG